TATAGTCACACTTTACTGACATACTAAATTTTCAGAAAAGGAGACTTGAAAACTATATGCTTTTTAATTGTACATCCCTAATTCAAATTCTGTTAAGACAAACTGTATCTTAATTTTATAAGCCATATATAGAATACTTTTTTCCCTAGAGAATACATATTAATAAAGAGGAATAGAAATATAAAGAGTTTGCAGATGTGTCTTGAGATAGGCACGTAGAAGCTTGCCATTAGTAAAATTCTCAATTTTCTAAGGCCTCTGTCCCAAAAGGTATCTGAGGAAGGAAAACACCCTACACGAATTTCATTCTGGGTTTTCTTAAAAGGAAAAACCATTTCCTGGTCTTCTAAATAGTAAAACACATCACTGTAATAGCAACAACATTGAAACTAAAATTTTAAACTTGTTATTTTACGTACACTTACAAAAATATTATATGTCCTAATTTCTAAATCGAAGTTGTATAAGCATCATTTGCTATTTTAATTTCCATGATAATAATTAGAACTTCAGGGGGCAAGCTGCATGAGAGTGCTGTGGGCACACCAAGTGTAGAGTGTGAACTAAGGATGTCATTTCTTTACGCTAGAGTAATTTTAACCCTTTTGGAACTAAATATTTTCATGACGCAATATTGCTGTTGTGTTCGCAGTGCGGTTCATGTGCCAATCAAAAGGTTCATGTGCCGGGATGTCTTGAAAATAAGAATACTGAAAAATAATTGTACATGCCAAATGTATGCATTACTGTGCTAAATATACAAGGAGGCATCTATTGATGAGGAGTTAATAGTTTTTGATACAGAAATAAATCTGTAAAAGAGGTAACATTTTAATTTATCATGCTTCATCAAGCAGTATGGTAAGCCAGATGACACCAATAGAAAGTCAAAGTAATGAGTTGTGATTAACTAAGCCCAAAGTTCTGTGCACAACTTCGGAAAATGAATGAATACAAATAAAACATGTACTATCCTTGTAAATGCCATGACAATTTCATATATCCATGCAATTAACACACTAATTTATGTGAGAAATTTGCAATATATGACTAGATCTAAATCAAAAGGTCAGGCAAATTGTAGAGCCTAAGTAAATTAAAATGGCCCCTGAGGATCACTTAACATGGATATTTATTAAGTAGACTCCTCATTGTTACTTAACTATAAAATGTACTTATACTGCCACATTGATGAAGAGATACAGAACAATTTTTTGTTGCTATTGTAAGAAGACAGGAGCCATTAGTACTTTGCATTAGATATTTTAAAAGTTCTGTGACTTGATGACTCAAACATTTTTAATATAAAATATTGTTACAAATGATCTTCATTTAATTTAAACACTGCGAATGAGTTATATTTGTTTTAAGTGATATCCACTGACATTGACTAATTTCAAAATTTTGTATGTAAACAAATATGCTTCATTATAATTAATCAAAAACAAAAAAGAACATAATTGTCCATATTGACCATTCAAATGTTTTTATTGAGTATTATTATTCAAAAATGACTTTCCACAGAAGCACTGTTAAAAAATTGAAGAAATGGCCACTTTGTTTTAAATAAGCACATATTTGATTGAATTTATCTAGAATATGATTGCTATAAATGAGAAGTCATTACCTAATAAGTGTTTGGGTCCAATATTGCTTGCTCTTTAATATTTGATTTATAGGCATTTTCAGTATGGTACTTTTAACATTCCTGTTGGATTAATACCTCTGAGAACAGTTTTATACTACAGTATTATAGTAAGTCCTCAAGCTTTCTCCAGATATTCTGCACCCTGATCAGCATTATTAGGCTTAGATTGTGTCAGGGAACTATGGAGTAATAACAGATATGAACAACCCTGATGGACTAAACTGACAGTTCAGTCTCACTCAACAATAAAGTTAGAATAATAGAAGTAATTTGGTCTTTTAAAGTGTGATGTTACTAGTAGGATTCTTAATAGTGGGTTTTGTTGTGTCAATATCCTTCTTTCTGTATGGATGGTTATTTTAAATCTCATTTAACTGACTTTTAGTTCATTATAAATTATGGCTTGTGATAAACTTGTCCTTTGTGAGATCTTCCAGTATTCTGCAAAGAGCCTAGTAGTTTCATAGTAATTACAGAATAAGCATGTAGACTTGGACATGCTACATGCTCAATTAAAAATATTCACTTTGGACAGTTGATAAATAAATGTTTGTGTAATATTTCACAATCTGTATTGTCAAGGATTTTAACTAATGTGTAAAATTAAGTAACGAGATCCCATTAAATTTTCCTCTCTCCCTAGTTTTTCTTTCTTTCTATATTTTCTTCTTCCTCCTTTCTTCTTTCTCCCTTCATTTTTCTTTCCTCTTCCTCCTCCCCCCAAAACATAGTACCATAAAATGAAAAAGTATAATATTTT